TTTCTTTAGCAACGATACTGTGTTATTTAGTACAGGTTGAGTATTCCTTATCTAAAATGCTTGGGACCAGAGTTTTTTGGATTTGAGATTTATTTATTTATTTTGGAATACTTGCACTATACTTAACATTTGAACATCCCTGATCCAGATCTGAAATGCTCCAATGAACATTTCCTTTGAGTATCATGTCAGCACTCAAAAAGTTTCAGATTTCGGATTTCAAGGTTTTGGATTAGGGATGTTCAACCTGTAGTATGTTTACCTGAATTTCCAGTTAACTGATACTCCTGTGTTTAATACTGCAGTAATTGGTGTTCGTTAAGCTGACTTGAGGCAGCCTCTTTAAGATGCTGAGGTTTCTTCTGAACTACCAGTGATTAAATTAAGCTCAGTGTAATTTTAATATGCCTTATTATGTTTTACATCTTTAAAAATACAAAAAATTATTGAATGTTAATGTATAATTTTACTATTCATATTATTCCACTAGCAAAAATGACTTCTAGTTACTGCAAATCAGAAAGAGATTTATTCCAGGAAGAATATTTTTCTAGGCTTTGAAATCATATAAAGAGAAAGTTTAAAAAAACCTCACATTATTAACAGTGGAGAATACAAGGGTTGTAATTAAAACTTTTTTGTGCTGCTAGATTATACTCAAGCACATCCCACTCATCCTCTAGTCTTATTCACATGTCTAAATCATGTTGTCATAGCTTTTACACAAACTGAGGCACCATGGATATGAAACTATCCTTGAGCAGCTTAAGATCTAGATAAGGCTAAAATTCTGTTTATTTTTGTTGGAGGTTGCTTTTTGTACAGTGTTATACTGAAGGGAAAAATGACATAAATGGCTGTTTCAGAATTTCTTTGAAAACTGTGCTTTTAAGCTTAAAATCAGGAATTGATATAGAAATGTAGATGTGAAAGATAGCGTTAAAGATTGATTTTTTCTATAATTTAGAAAAATAAGTTTCCTTGGGTATATTGAAAAATAACTCCAAAGGAAAGTATATCTTGTATGTTTTGTTTTTGTTGAGATACGTTAGGAAAATGAAACATTAAGCTGAGAAAGATAATGAAAAAACACTTTATTTTTAACTTTTCAGTGTTTTTTTCAGGTAAATCAGAAGACTGAAGCACGGCATATACTCACCTTAGTCCATAAACACTTCTGTACTAGACTTTGTAAGTCTGACATGCCTCAAGTTTGTATGTCACCTGACATAACTTTATTTAAAATGCCTCTTACATTATCTTCTGGTAAGAATTGTTTATTCTGGTCAGGATAGGTATAATATGGATCCTTTTTTCCAAATGAATTTCTTTTAACTTTTGATTAAAAAGAAGAGTGATCATTTATTCAGCGTATCTTTATGGCTCTTACTGCAAAATATACCACCTGCTGCAGTGGGGGTGATTCAAAGATATGTAAGTTTTAGTTCTTTTTCTCAAAAGCTTATAGATAGTTAGGGAAATTAAAGCATGAATATAAATAGTTGTAATAACAGAGTATCTGTGAAAAGCTAAAAGTGTTGATACACATAAAGTCCAGATGAGAATTTCAGCTGACTCGCAATGATATGCATCTTTACTTGTTTTAAAAATAAGATCACTGAACATGAGACCTAAATGTATGACTTCAACAGAAAGCAAATTGTTGACTTAAGCCATTTTATTTTACGAATTTACTTTTTGAATACACTGACTCTAAACAGATTTTAATCCACATGTTAAGCCATCTCAAATAATTTCTTTTTATATAGAATTTTATAGAAAGTTGAAGT